GCCTGCATATAGGTAGGTTCACTGGTGTTTTGCAATGCCTGAGGAGGTCAGAAGATGGTGTCAGATACCCTAGAACTAGAGTTAAGGACAGTTGTTAGCCACCATGTGAGTGCTGAAAACTAAACCTGGCTTCTCTACAAGAACAAGCAGTGCTCTTAACCACTGAACCATCTCTCCAGCCCCCTCATTTTATTTCTTAAAAAACTATTTGAAAATAAAACATAACAAGGTAGAAATAATAATTTAAATGGGATAAATCTAAATCATGTTAGATACATTTTTAAGGATAATTTTGAAGTAAATTAATAATAATGCTTTAACTTTGACTCTAGGCAGAATTTTAATAGAAAGAAACTTTAAAAAAAATCTATAGTTCTCTAGCTACTCCAGAATTATAAAAATGAATACAAGTTTAGATACTGGAAAAGTCATTATAACTTCAAGAACTGAGGGAAAAATCCTCCAAGAGTTATTCAAAAAACATATTTATGCATCATTAGCTTGAACACATTATGAGTACTAAGCTTGTGTTTTTATTGCATCTTTCCTATAAGCACTTTAATAATATTTTTATTAAATATATTTTAAAGGGCAAATTAATTCTCAAACATTGAAATATTGTCTCCTTTCAGAGTAGAGTGGGCATTGAGTTCACTCTAGCCATCCAGGAGAAACCAGGACCCTCCTGATCTATGCCATCTCTGCCCTACTCTGCCACAAGTCATGTGCCACGTGCCACAGTAAAATAGATGAGGTGTTTGTTTTCAGTCACTGAACTGCAGCCATTTACATGTGTGCTATCTTCAGATAGATTGCCATTCCCTAATGAGGGCAGGGGGTGTTTACAGATGATAACTGTCAGAAATGAATAAAAGAAAGTCATGGACTTGGAAAAGATACAAACAGAGTAGAGTTTGGGTTTACCAACACCATAGGTAGGTAGGTAGGTAGGTAGGTAGCAGAGATGCACAAATTGTACCACAGCAAAATGTATGAAGATGGATTAGAGGAAGTCCAAGAGCTGGCTGTGAGTACAGTTCATACCATGTGCACCAAATCAGTTCATACAAATTTATGCCATGTGAGCAGAAGGACTTTGAACTAAACAAAGTTGGTGAGGAAGTAACTCCGTCCTACTTGTAGTGAGTCTGCCCACACTTGGAGAAAGGTAGTTTTTTGGATTCCGTATCTTCAGAACTCAGAGCAAAAAAATTTTAGGAAAATTTACGAAGATCCCCATCATTCTGCTTTGAAATAGTTTAGGATTTCAAATTCCTGTGTGATCTGGCCAGAACCAAGATCTCTGACCTCCTTGAACATCATCCTATGTATTTAATGCAAATGGAAGAAACTAAAACTTGTGTTGAAACATCTTTGTGTTGAAAATGAGGAATTGTGATGTTCCACATCATATATTCTCTCAGGAACAGAGTTCACATAAAACAAGTTACTTTAATTCCCTAAGCAGGTATATGCAGCTAATTATTTAGGAGCAGAATTTCTGACTCACAACCTTTTTTTTTAAGCTACTAACTGACTGGCCTCAAGTTTGAGACTTCTGTTTTTGCACCATGCATGTTACATATGTTATAAAAATATTCTACTTTGGTGGGACATGAGCCATTTCATATCTTGCCAAATAAGAACTTATTGTAAAATTAAAATAAGTAGGATCATAGTTTAACTTTACCACAACTATATGAAAAATTCCTTATAGATCAAATGCCTAAGCTGTACACTGCCTGTCTGTCCTTAATAAGCCCATAGGAAACAGAAATTATTACATGCTACAAAAAATTTGAAGTGTTTATGGAATATAAGTCATTTTTATCTTACATGTTCTTAGTCTTTAATTAGAACACTGCTCAGGGCTCTTATGCATTGACTTTTAGGCATGATTCTGTAATGATTCAATATATTTTAATCACATTTAAAGGCAGTATAAATATGTTCATAGATCACTTGGAATAAAAGTTAGTTTAAATTTATTTTGGATCACCATGGTGTACAGAGCACTCTATAGGCATCAAACATAGCTGAAAAAATATTAGAAATAAATAAGACAAAGAACTGAGTTTGTAAATTTTACCAATTAAAAAATCCAAACCTGGCATGGTGGCATAGGCCTTTAATCCCAGCACTTGGGAGATAGAGGCAGGCAGATCTCTGTGAGTTCGAGGCCAGCATGGTCTATATAACAAGTTCCAAGCTAGTCAAAGATACATAGTGGAACTTGGTCTCAAAAACAAACAAACAAACAAACAAAGTCACAAAAACAACAAAAAATAGTCATTTTCAATCCCAACATGGAGGTTAGCTTTTCTATTGTTTTATTTATTTTTAAATAACTTTAGTAAGCTCTCTTTAAAGTGTCTCACAATGCAAAAGTTTTCCTCAAAACATTCATAACATACAAAGCTCACAGTGGGGACATATTATCAGATACTGCTTGTGCTTACAAGCGAAAGAAGTCTGTGCCATCAGTTTCAGTGCCTTCATAGGCCAAGTCCTCCAGGTGATGAAAATGAGAGTCGCTTATTTTGTTTGTGATTTATCAAAGGCGATTTTAGCTTATGTTACCATTTTTTACAATGTGGCCCAAGATTTAGATTGGAGCAGTCAGGTGCATTGGTTCTTAATAAGGGTGGATCTCAGGGCACCTCCTCTGAGCTTTCAAGTCAGAACCTAGAAGCCTGGAAAAGCATTTTACACTACCAACATCCATTTCATAGATGGTATTTCTGCACTGGTTTCTGTTTTTGTTTAATTTGGTTACTTTTTGTTTTGTTTTGTTTAGAGACAATTATTCTATAGCCCAGACTGTCTTTGAACTTTCTCTGTTAGCCTATGCTGGTCTGGAACCTGTGGCAATCCTCCTGCCCGAGGCCCACAGTGCTAGTATTACAATTGTGGCCCATCAAATTTGGCTTCTGCACTCACTTTCTAACTTGGGGAAGAAGAGATTATGAATTTGTGAGAGTTGTCTCTTGTGTAAAGTACATATAATTCTACTCTCAAAGCCAAGCTGTATCACAACTGTCACCTAAGGATCTGTGTACTCCTGCTCTTAGCAGAGAATTTTTCTATTTTTCTCCATTCAATTATATGAAGTGCATGTCAACCCTTAAAAATTAACTAATCATCACTTCAGTCCAAGCTAATGGGGATTATGTAATGTGTATTCAGTAATATACAAAGTATGTAATTGTGTTGTTTTTGGATAAGGAGATTTAAAGCATTTATGAAACAATTTCTCCATCACTTAAAATTCTTCAGTGGGGAGTTAGCTGGTGAGCATTAAAGGATCAGGAACAACTGGAAAATATCAAGCTGAGCTTATTTTCTAATTATATAAAAAGTTAATTTTATTATCACTTGGAAAGAATATGGGAAGTTTAAAGTAAGTTATGTGAGAACAGGATCTATTAAGAACAATTTGCTTTTCCCCCCTGGCTAATAGTGCTTTATGTTCTAGGAAGGCAGCCAGCAAATACAGAGACAAAACGTATTTATTTCATTATTTTGATGCACTTCATATACTATTTTAGAGGGATATTATGCTTCTAGCTTTTTTGTTTTACTTACATGAAGCCATGCATAGTTTATAATCCTTACCCTAAGGGCCAAGAAAAGAACTCTGGTAGCTCAAGCAGCTCTTGGCTTACCGACTTAACCTAACAAGACGTCCTTTGCTAATATTCGGAACCAATTGCACGACTTCTGGTCCCTTTCACAGAGTTTTAGATAAAACAATGGCCCTACTTCTCCAGAAACTACCTACCACATTAATTTAAAGGTGGGCAGAAAAATTTCAGAGATCTCCCAAACCTCCGTTATTTGAAATTCGTCCTCCCCAAGGCAAAAGCCCTATGTGCCTACCTTGCTCTGCCTTGACACGCAGAGGCATTAATTCGCATTAGTTTTTTGTTTTGTTTGTTTGTTTGTTTTTTCTCTGCAGATCTCTGTTGCTCTTCCTTGATCTCCAGGAAGCTACTCCATTCTCTGAGATTTCCGGTGCATCTTCTACCCCCGACTTTTAGTCTTAGACATCTGCAGTTGCTTTGCCGGGTGTGGGTGGGAGACCCCCTCCAACTAGCTCTCCTCCAGCCATTGCCCAGCTAGGCTATTGGACCAGGACAGGAAGGTACCACAGACGTCCCTCCCGGTGGACCTGATCACCTGAACATCTGCCCCACCCCTGCCCAGCGTCCTGGCAACCTCGGGACGCTTTGCTTGTGCCAGATTTCAGCCTCCTGGTCGCATTTTCTCTCTTCCGTCCACTCTTTTTTTGTCCTGTTTTGTCAGCAATTCTTTGATGAAAGAAAATAACTCAGTTACACAGTCTCCTTCCTAAGAAAAACCCCTGTGTTTTTCCAAAGCCAGTCCCTGCCCCTTCCTTCCCCCTAACACAGGTAAGATTTGCAAAGCAAAAGTCTTTCGTTTCAACCACAGATCAGCATGGGTCTCTCAGTTTACTGATATCATTCAACACACCTACACCAGCCCTCTTTCAGTTTACAATGTTCTTTCTCCCCGCTAAACACCTCCTCCACTTTTTCCCGTTCTACTACTGTTCATATTTTTTAAAACAAAAATTCCAACAAGCAAGATAGTGTCAATTCCAAGTGTAAAGTGTGTGTGTGTGTGTGTGTGCGCGCGCGCAGGTGTGTGTGTGATGGTCTCTGAGGGTGTGCATCTAGACACATCGCCTGTGTCAGCCTGTCCGAGTCCTGCTCCTGTGGCAAGAAGATGCAGCCTGATGGTTCCAACTGCCCTGCCAGGCTGAGGCAAGACCCTCCAGAATTCACCTGTCTGCGTCCAGGTAATTGGTCAAGTGGCCTCCCGCCCGCATTCCAAGACACCTGGCCAGGGCAGGGCGCCCTCTCCAGCGCATTTGCTTTCCATCTTTCCATCACTTTGGAGGTGGGGGGATTCTGAATGTATTTCTGCACATTGTTCCCCGAAGAGAGCGGGACTAACCCCCCACTACAGCTCCTTACCTCAAACAGAGGACCGATTTTGTTCTTCTCCAGGTAAGCTTGGATTCGGGTTTGTTGACGAGACGCCATGGAGAGACAGATAGGGCCGCGGAGAGAAGACCAGAGGACCGTGTACCTCAGCGGGGGACACCCCTCTTCTGCACCCGAGGAGCCGGGACAGGAACTCCGAAGCTTCGGCTCCCGGGCGGGGTGACGGGCAGTAGCCAGGGGAACTGCGAGCTTGAGAGGTGCAGAGAACCAGGAGCCGGGGCTAGGCACCTGCAACTCAGGCAACTCCGAGAGGAGGGAAGAACTCCTTCATCGCTTCCTGCTGCTCGCGCCCACCGGCTCTGCTCTCCCAGCGCGGCCGCCACTGGGAAATCGTCAGCAGAGGATGCTGTGTCCTCTGGGCGGCAGCAGCAGGAGCCGGAGCAGGAAGGCGGGCTTCGATTGCTGAGCTGCCGGGAGCCGAGCCGGGTACCACTGGGGCCGCAGGGGCGACAGCGTGCGATGCAGCCCAGAGCGCGCCACGGTGTGCACCAGGCTCCCGGCTGCCAGGAGGCTGTACCCCGAGGCTGTGCTCGCTCCCTAGCGACAGCGCCGCTCAAAAAGCCAATGGTGAAGGTGCTTCTTTCAAAGTGCACATAAATCTGGTGCTTGTTGGCTACTCCGCGGCCGCTTCAACCGCATTTCCACAGGGGATGGTCCCCACTGCCGAGGGTGGTCCTCTCCCAGGCACCTAATGCTCTGCCTAGGCTAGCCCTGGGCGCAAGAAAAACAGTGATGGCAAACTGATGCATGGATCTCAGGGTTGCCATGAAAACAAAGTTGTTTTTCCTCAAAAAATAAATATGAGAATTGAAACAAAAACCTCAACTGACGTTTGCAAATTCCCATTGAAAATTCCCATTCCGGAGACAAACCCCCAAAGACTGGAAGTAACCTTTGGGCATCAGACAATGAGAGCCAGCTCTCTCCATCCATCCAAGTTTGTTTTTCTCCTGGCGCCTTAAATTCTATCTATACACCTCAGATGCTTAGCAGTGCTTCCCTCAGGAGCACCTCATTTTTGACTAACACCTTCTTATTATGCATATGCAGGATTTCCAAGTTGATCTACAGACAGCACAGGGATCTTCCCAGAGGGTGTGTGTGTGTGTGTGTGTGTGTGTGTGTGTGTGTGTGTGATAAAACACTGAGGCCCCAAAGATGATTTCCTTGGCTCCTAACCATTATGTGTTGCCCAAATCACACCATTCATAATGTATGTTTGGATGTCTTTGCAATAATAAGCATCGGTTTCCTTAAAGCCAACTTTAGTGTAGATTTCTTTTCTTTTTCCCAATTGTATTCTGAATTTCTGTGTCTCATAATGTCTTTACTGATGCCCAAGCACTTCCTCTCTGCTTTAAATTATCCTGGCAACATTCAATAGTTAAGGTGAGAATGAACTATTCCAGAAAGTATCATTAATTGCATTTAATAATTAAAATGTAAGGTATCTACCAGAGGAGCTAGGACCTTAAATATCTCTGACAACCTGAAGGAGACATGACTTGGGGTAGAAAGATGTCAAATTGTTATTTTGGCAATCAGACTCAGATGACTTGCCTAGGAGAGCTAGAGTAAATACTAGTGAGGTGTCCAAGGTTGCAATATATTTTCCATTATGAATCAAAGATATACCTAAAGTTTTTTAGTATGTTCAGGAGATATTGATTAAACATGGGTAAATGCCAACATTTCTACAAGGTATGTCATAGAGTTGTAAGGAAAGTCTGTGAGCCACCTAAAAATTCAGTATTTTTGCTATTATATTATACTGGAAAAACAAGGAGTACCTTTCTGAATGAAAATCTTTCTCCTCTAAGAGCTATGAGAAAGATCTTTCTTTAAATCAAGTATTTAACATAATTAATACGTTGTCACTGTGCTGTGTACTGAATCAAGTGGTCTTCAGTAGAAAAAGACAAAGCTTAAGCAGGCAAAATGTTTACATATTCAAGAAAACCTATAAAGATACCCAAACTACCACATTTTCCAGTCTTATATATTTAAAATTCCTGAGACATTTTCAAGTCCTACAACAAATGCTGCCTTCACCAAAAACACTTTTCTGTTTCTTTCCGCTTCTCAAATCTGACATCATTTCTACTGTATTTATAGCCCACCCTCTCTGCAGCAGACATTTTGTTAGGACTAATTCAAAGGCAAAAGGCCCTATCTTTGTCCTCAGGCATCCAGTCCTGTAGAGCTCACTGGCACCTACACAAATAAGGTCATGCTAATGGGATATGAAACATACTAAGACTATAATTTTCTTGACAAGTGATGGAAGGATGGTTTGTTCCTGGTGTCCTCAAGGAGTGTTTTATTAAGGAGGTGCTGTTTGCATGGAGTGAAGGAAGAGTACACTTAGTTTTCTTGATGAGATGAGTGGAGTGAGATCGGGAATGAAGGTTCAAAGACATTAAAAACTAGCATGTAAAAGTGTAGAGACATGCTACTGATGAAAGACGCCCAGGTAAGAATACATGAGTATCACATGAGTTTAAACAACAGAGTTCAGTTCACTAAGTTTCATAAGTGGTTTGTTCGGAATTGATATATATTCCATATATAGGTAATGCAGCATGACTATTTGGGGTACATAATCTGTAGCAAATTATGAGAGTCAGAGTTAAGACTAGGGATTTCAGATGAGGAAGATGGGATGTATTCCAGACATACAGAAGAGCTAATCTGTTGACTAACTATATGTTGAATGAGCAAAGAAAGAGAAATAAACAATGGCAATGATTTCTGTAAAGAAGTTAAGCAATTACAGTTATTTAAGGCACCAAATGTATAATTGATTGCACCATATTTTAATCCAAACTCCTCTAATTCTTGAATTGGAACTATTTCCACTCTGTATTTTATAATGTGGGAATTAGTTAGGAGTTTGGCTTATGGGTATTAGCATCCTATGTGGAAAGGGTTATGTCTGAGGAGGTTGCACTCCCTAATGCTAATGAGTTAAATTTTCATAGATCAGTTCAATCCATCTGTTTTTAGGCTAAAGTTTGTCTCTGATTTATGCTCTTTATAGTCTGTTTTGTTTGATATTTTGTCTCTAAAATTATAAATCATGAATTACCTTTTAATAATTTTCTTATATTCACAGCATGCAGTATGTTTGCATGTAAGTTCCTTATAAGCATATCTTTAATTAGGACCTGATTACTAGACACTTTAGTACTGGTTGAAATGCAATTCTGGTCTTAGACCGAAATTTATAACTTTTTCTGTCTACCTTAACTTGGTACCTTTAGGATTCTTTCCCCCTTATTGGCTTGGATGCAACATAAAAGGCCATTTTTAGTGAGATTGTTCTGACCTCATTGTGTTATAGGAGTGCCTGCCAGCATAATTTACAAGTATACAGAATCCAATTTATAGAATGTACTAAAGCCCTTGTCTAACTCCATTTGTAAGATACCTTGCACAGCTCTTTAAACAAATGATTTTCAATGAAAGACAGAGAACAATGATGAAGTGCAATTGACCCAACTAAGAAGCACTAGCAACGTGACCTCTTGAAATTGATTCAGTTTGGAAATCAGACAGCAGGGGTGCTCTGTATAGGTTCCTTGAATTTAGATTATTGGGCCCTGAATCACCTTTTCTTTCCTTGATGACTTTTATCTTTTCAGTTTGTATCAGACAGGAACAAGCACCTTCGCAGAGAACATAGCACCTGTGAGTAATTTGGTCATTCCAGGAAGGTGAGCACAGAGTTCTCTTCATTTCTGCCTGAACGAGTATAAACATTGTATCTACTGTGAACTAAGCACTGCCACTGCACTTTCCACACTTAACTTGCTCATTTAATCTTCAAGACAATATCATGAACCATCGTTCTCCTTATTTTTTCAGGTGAAGAAACTAAGACACTCAAAGAATGAATTACTCAAAGCCATATTGGGCAAGTAACAGAGTCTGGATTTGAAACCCAGTAATATTTGAAACACCCAAAGCCTTGACTATCAATATCCCAAGAAAATCATTTCCTTTTACTCAGAATTTGTTCACACTAAGAGTCATTTTGATGACTAACTTCAACTCCCTAATGTGCAGATATGGGAAGGGTGTAGCTAGACTGGCAGAGACCCAGATAATTTTCTGTCCCCATGCTAAAAGAACATACTGTCTCTGTGAGTTTGAATAGCAGATGGTCAATCACATTAGAACTAACTGCTCTCGATGGCTAATACCGACTTACTGGTCCTGTAATACTCAGAACGTCAATGGTGGTGCCAGCCTTTGAAAGTCTGCCATCCAGTCTCATCCAGTGATACTTCAATCTCTTTATCTTCACACTTAAATATTAGATTTTAATATTTAATTTTTAATATGTGGAGGTTTATAAGAAATCTCTATCTTAAATTTCTTATGTTATTTGTGCTATTTTGTATCATGCTTTTTTGTATTGTCATGAATCATTTGAAGTCTGATATCTTCAGATAGCAGACTATGTAAATGTTCTTGATATTACTGTCGGTAAACTCTTTTATCATCCTCATATGCATTTTGCTTATAATTTTTACAGTGGCATTGTCTTGATTTTTTAATCTTAGTGAAAGTTTTTGTTAGGAAAGGGAAAAATATTGGGAAATGTTACATGATACTGAATTTGCTGAAAGGAAGGTGAAAACTAAGAGCCTTTAGTAAACAAAAGACAATGCGCTAAGGCAAAGCGATTCAACTTGGTGTGTGCCCTGGGGAACCAGGCTTTCTGTCTAGGACAGTCAGTGGTTTTGTTCCAGCCTGACTATCAGGGAAAAAGCAACACGAGGCCTATTTCTCAAATGCGCATCTCTGTAAATGCCAGCTCATTTTCAGTTATAATGAAGTTCATCACAACAGCCATAGCACAAGAGGTTAAAGATACCTTTTAGGTGAATTAGTGGAACCACTATTGCCTTGTGGGAATCTACACTTAAAATATAAAATAAAAGGATGACTCTACAAAAACATTCTGAATACTACAGTAGCTAAAATAATCAGCAAATTCTCTCCTTCCAAAGCAGATCCCGCCCTGTATCTTACTCACCGTCAGATGGTTTGGGTCTTAGGAGACAAATATTGTGGCACTTAAGGATAAGCTGAGTTTTACAAGCATCCGATAATGACACCAATTTATATACCTGCTATAAAAGATCTTTTAAGGGGCCGTAAGGGCCAGGAACTAAACTTACCGATGTACTTGAGAAAAATAGAAACAAAAGTGAATGAATGAATGAATGAATGAATGGATGGATGGATGAATGAGAAGAGAGATGAAAAATACATTTTACAAACTCGTTTAAGCCTCGTGGTTTTCAATGTATTTTTCTTTCATATAGAGATTTTGTAATGAAACTTTCAAAAATGTGTTTGATAATAAATGTCAAAACATTAGACTTAGAAGTTAATAAAATTATTGTGTC